TGCGGTCGGCTTCGTCTCCCGTCGGCATGGTTTGCGCGGCAATGAGCACCCGTTCGTCGCAGCGGAACTCGGAGGGGCTGTCCGCAAAAAGCATCCCAGCGCTTTGGTGGAAGATCAAAGCGCGCAGAGGGTTACGGAGTGCAATCAGCGGCCTGAAGAGCACCAAAAAATCTTGTGGGGAAGCCAGCGCAATTCACAGAGCTCGCGCCGACGTAACATGCTCACGCTAACCGCCTTATTCAATGGGAGGGCTACCAGAAAGCTAACGAGGAGCCTTGGAGGGCTGGGTGTCTGGCTTGCCTAAACTGAGGAGGAGACAAAGGTGGGAAATAACATGGCAAATACCGTATCAGACCACTGTAAAGCCCCTTATTCACTGCAAACTTCACTAAGCAGCTGAGTCCTCACTGTTTGGGGGGAAATGAGAGCAATTTGGGGTTTTCAAGTATCCCACGACCGTGAGTTTATCCGACAAGAAAAGCACATAACTCACAATAGATGGGAAAGTGAGCCTGCCTTCCTCGGTTCGGCTCACCTTCCTCCACCCTACCAGCCCTGAGTCTTCCCTCTCTCGATGAAGTCTCGCTGACTCTTAAATCGGCAGAGAGGGCAGCGAACGCCACACAGCTTTGTTTCCAGTCAGGCTTATTTAAAGCTCATCTGAAGTTTTCACCTCCCGCATCTGTAAATGCTGCTGCTGGTTCATAACAAGGCAGAGAAGTACTCTATTAATCAAACCCAGCAGAACTTTTTCTACAGGAGGCATTTATGTGAATGAGAGCAGCATATGAGGTTACACTTAGCTAGGAAGAAAATTATAAGGGGATCTCAGTTCTCATGCTTCAGGGCATAAGCTGATCACCAGATGGGGTCAGGAAGAATTTCAACCTCCTTCGTTCCTAGATATAGTGTTGCACAATAGGTAAACTATGGAGGCACAAGGAAGAAGGAAAAAAAGCTGATTATAGCCTCATTTTTTCCCCTGCTTTCTCGGGAACTACGTCCCCAAACAGTTCCAGACAGAAGACAGTAGGTTAGAAAAAATACCGGGCTTTAGTCTGGCAGTTCTTACCCAGAAAATGATATGCACAAGAGCCCTGAGTTCACATGTCCAACTAACACTCAGCCCAGTCAAAAAACCTGCTCTGGGAAGCTGGTGGGCAGCAGGTACCTTGCAATGGCTACTATCGACATATTTAATATATTATAAACATGTTACGCTAGTTAAAGCTGGACTTCTAGATCTGGGAGACCTTTGCCACAGCTCATGGGAACGATTTTTTCGTTTCAGTTCTCTGAGTGCTTTGGGTTCAAATTAGCCCACTTACTTCTCTTCCTTACTCCAAATTAATAAACCAGTTGAACTTAAAAAAGAAGAAAAAGAAAGAAGAAGAAAGCCACAACACTTTGTTAAAACCGCTAAGTTTCAGCTGGTATCATGTCAAAACCACTTGAAACATGAAACCAGAAATCTTCCTAGGTTGACTCAAAGAGTACGCCTATACTAGGAGGGCTTTACCAGTAAAGGAATACCAGTATACAAGACTGGCAAAGGTCTCCTGGTATAGATGCAACTATAGCAGCACAACTAAGTTTTAAACTGGTCTAGTACACTGAGCCAAGAGTTTTGCTGATGGACTTGCGTCTAGGTAAAGTCCTCCAACAGTTCTAGCAAGTGAACTGGTCAGGGGCAACACCTCTTCGCATCCTGGATAGACACAAAGACATCAGCACAAGTTTTGAGTGTAAAAATGACCAAAACTAGGGAGAGGTTGTTCTGACATTTTTTTGAAAAAATTAACCCGCTCTGAATTTAGAAAAACAACAAAAGTGGTTTATTTTGTAGGCTTCACAGTTTTCTTGCAAACTTCTGGCACAGCTGCAGTTAAACATCTTATTTCAGTCTCATAATCTGTGACACATGGTGCTTTATGATTTCTCTCAGCACAATGAAATCTGTCTCTCAGCATGCAATCATAAATGTTGCATGCAGCCCTCACAAGCAACCTTTGGAGATTTCTCCATAACCCAGTTCGTTTATTGTAACAGTGGTCAGCACTGGTGCTAGAAGGAAACCACCACGTGAGAAGACCGTGTTATTATTCCGACAGAAAGACCAATAAAGGCCGCTTCCCTCAACACCAGTGCAAAATAAAACCACTGAATAAAATTGTTCATTCTAATATGTGCTATCGCATACACAGAGGACAAGGCAGAGCAACGTGGCAGTTAGAATTTCACCAGATTCCTACTCAGTTTACCCAGATTGACTACTTTGGACTTACAGTAAAAAGGTATTTTAAAAAAAAGAAAGACATTTTTCAGCTTCAAACACTACAGAAAAATCCGCTTCCCGCCTAGCTTTGCTTGGAACACATCTCTCACTCTGTCACAGCCTCTTTTGCTGCAGTCAAAACACAAATATCCATCAGCAATTACTACCGTTGCCTGTGCACGTCAAACCTACGGTTCTGGCTCTTACCTGTAATCTGACTCTGTCCTTGTGGATTAAAAGGACTTGGTGCAGAGTTCAGAGAGGGCCGTGGGCTCTGGGTCGGGACCCCTACTCTCATACTGGGATGAGGAATGCGCCCTAAATCACTGAGGCGTTCAGAGAACAAACTAGGTTTAGAGTCATCAAGCTTCTGTCTGTGCCCTGGAAACAGCAAATCATAAAATAAAAGCGTTAATAACAAGATTTAGTAATTTAACACACCCCCCAAAAAAAACCCCAAAATGCCCTCTAAGGACCTGTTATTAGATTTAATGGACTTACAGGTATCTCAGCTCTCCCCCATAACGCAGCGACTTCGGTGGGGTGATTTGTGTTTTGGGCACGGCCGTGCTGGTGAAAGCCTTACCCAGTACAACTGTGCCCATACGGATGTGTAACATGTTGCAATTTGGATCAAAATAAGCACTGATGAGGACACCCACGCAAGGTCTTTTTCTTTTTTTTCACTACTTTACTTACTTACTTTACTTTACTTAAAGGGGCGAACTTTCTTTTCCGAAAGCAAGCTCCATATGTAAGTACAAGTCGTCATGTGGGACAATTAGTCCATGCCTGGTTTGTATGTTGTGGATTTTTGCTAAGAAAATGCATGCTCTTCTTCTCCCCTTGGTTTTTTAATTTCATTCTGTCACAGTCAGACATTAGCTTTCACTCCTCTGGGAGATTTTCCAAAAAGTAAATTGTCCCTGTCATTTGAGAAGAGCAGTATCACAAGGAAAACCTGCAGAGCTGCTAGCCAAGACTGGCTCCTACACCCCCTTCCACGGCCAGCCTTTCTCAGGCTCCTGCTCCTCTCCCCAGAGCCAGGCTGACTGCCCTCGTGCCGCACGGCCGCACTGGGAAAAGCCATTTTGGGTGCTCGGTTGTCAAAATGTAAAGGGGAAAATTGGCAAAAGCGACAGGATGCCCCAACTCCTACTGCTCATATCGTCATTGGGGTGTTTCAAGAATAACGGCTTTACTTCTCTAATTGTTGTATTTTTGTTCCTAGGCTTAATTTCTTTCCAAAGGAGTGACAGGATGCTCCTTGTCCAACGGCACCTTTGAATGTGAGGTGCAGAATGTGTTATTTCTATCCTTCAACATATGGAGAAACAGGCATGCGCAGAGATTAAGGTCAGAACTAATTTTACTTAACTTCAGCCATACATAAATCTTGGCATCTAGTCTAAACTCTTCTAATGTAGACTTCCTCTACAGTTAATGGAAAGAAATAGCTACTTCCAGAGGGCAATTCATCTCCTTTGTCTCTGACACCAGTCTTAAAACGGGATGATTCACCTTCTGAATTCGCTTTCTCTTCCTTCTCTGATCAGAGACGGAGCACACATGACTCGTTTAATTAGACACCCTCACCATTAGTCAACATTAAATGGGATGAATCTTACTTTAAGTTACCAACCAAGGCCACATGAAAAGCCTCTGGCAGAGCTGAAATGGGGACACGGACCCCTCGACTGCAACCCAGAACCACACCTGCCTCCCTCCCTGCAAACAGTGCCGGGGCACCAGCACGAGCAATAACTGGGTAGGGTATTTTTATACCTTTAAGAACAAGAAGGGTCCCTGGTAGGGTTTGGGCTTGAACCCTTCCAGATGATCCCCAGCGGCTTGAGCTAAACCTCATTCTTCCTCAGCAGCGCAAACACAGCCACCCATGTGGAGGCTTGGAGAGTTCAGCTTTGCAGACACGGCCAGGTTGTCCCATTGGTATTAGGGCTGGAGAACCACTTCTGGCACTGGTTTATTTATTTTAAAAATATAAATGAGGTCGCCGAGTCTTGCGACTGAACTATCAGACCACTACTCCTATAAAAAAGCATCTTTTAAAGGTATCTGTCATCACAGTAGTGACAGACATGGGTTCACACTGTCTAACTGGGACCATAGTGTCTACACGACATGTAGGCAACGCGAGGTCAGTGCTGGGTGGCCAAATCACAGAATCCCAGAATGTTTGGGGTTGGAAGGGACCTCTGTGGGTCATCTAGTCCAACCCTCCTGCCCAAGCAGGGTGACCTACAGCAGGTTGCACAGGACCTTGTCCAGGCAGGTCTTGAATAACTCCAGAGAAGGAGACTCCACAACCTCCCTGGGCAGCCTGGGCCAGGGCTCCGTTACCCTCAGAGTGAAGAAGTTCTTCCTCATGTTCAGATGGAACTTCCTGTGCTTCAGGTTGTGCCCGTTGCCCCTTGTCCTGTCACTGGGCACCACTGAAAAGAGTCTGGCCCCATCCTTTTGACACCGACCCTTAAGATCTTTATAAGCATTTCTAAGGTCCCCTCTCAGCCTTCTCTTCTTCAGGCTGAACAAGCCCAGCTCCCTCAGCCTTCCCTCAGTCCTTCCCCAAACTAGACTCAGAGAAATCACGGTTCTAGAGAGCGGAGTGAAGAATTCAAGTTGGGGGATGAGAAGAAACTAGATGGAATTTAATTTTGGAGAAACTTCTCCAGCAATTTAAAAAAAAATAATTAGTTGACCTATTATTTTGTCCTTTGAAGTATGACTTTTCTGCCCCAGCATGACTCAGTATAAAAGCACGGGGTAGGCGGGAACTGTCTCGTTAAGGAGAAAGTGCTGCTCGGTGTTAGAGCCGACGCTGGTGGCTACTCCTGTCTTCAGGAGGTATCAATCGCTTCATATGGGGAACGGTTTTTGGTGGGCTTCTAACAACTCCATAATGGCAGCTTAATTAACAGGATAACATCTAACCTGGCAGTCTTTAGCATTATCTTTTCAATCTATTGAAATTACAACTTGTAGAAGCTGGGTGCTGCCAAAGCTGAAGGACTTTCACACACACACACACACACACACGCATGCAGTCAGTATTCTCTTGGGATTTCTCCATCTTGTTCTCCTCCACAATTTTTATGTATCTGCTTTGCCCTTTGCCAGCAGTATTTTCCACTCTGGTTTTTACAGGCATCTCCTTCCCCTCCTCTCTTCTCTTCCATTCATTCCTAATCTCACCTCGGCAAATTTAAGAGGGCTCAAAATAAGGCAAACATGATTAACCCATCTCCAGCCTCACACGCCAGGGCTGACTTTATCTGGGAATGAATCCAGACCCAAAAGTGAATTTTATTTTAAATTTTTGTAGAAAAATCCTGTGCTATGTTCACACAGGGCCCATTTGGCTAAAGAATCGCTGACAAACCAGTGCACAAGCTGTTTTAACTGCCCCCAGATCACTCAGTGAAGACTTGTTAGAGAGGTCACCACTCCTGCACCAACCTGTGCCTGATAACTCCCAGCTTCATTTTCATCACCCTGTCTGCCCGTGCATAGCTTTGCTAGAAATCAGTTTATATTTAATTATGTGTATTATTATTGCACTGAACTAGGTCTATCACGGAAAAACAAAATTCAGCAGTGCACTTTTTTTTGGGGGGGGAAGGAAAAAAAGGGAAAAAAGAGGAAAAAAAAGGGAGGAGGGAGGGCAAGCGGGGGAAAAAAAGAAATAAGAAGAACGATTCAAAGATACCAACATCTGGTTGAA